GTCGCCCGGTTCTCTCCATGTGCTATTTTTTGTTATCTGTTTGGCCTATAGTTGCTGTGCAAATGCTTTGTATTTTGGCATCCGGCAGCGGTATTAGGGAACCTAAGTGAGCGTCTACCACTCCTTGCACACGGTCACTCCAGAGGTCTTCATTGTCTTCCTGCAGTAGCGCGGGATCTGACCTTGTCTTCTCTGCTGCTGGCTGTTCATCTGACGGGAAGTAACGTAGTGTCTGCATTCTCGGCGTGGCAACAACAAGATTGCCCCTCACTGCTGTAACCTTCTCCTGAGAAGATGCATCTAGTCGTCCACAGGGATCATACTTCCATGCTTGTTTCCGGCATACAGCTTGTTGATGACGTGCCTCTGAAAACGAATTTCACTCGGGGGCAGTCTTGGTGCTGGCTTCTTGCCTGGAACATGAGATAAATGAATGCTTCAGTTTTCGAATAAACTTCTTGCATAGATGCTTTTCTGAGACCTTGCTCTTTCTGTAAAGTGTCGCAAACATTGAACCTTCGTTATTGATTCTTGCAGTGGATGGAAAACAATGCACCCACTAGCTTCTACAACTGTGATTGTTCTTGTAAAAACGAGTAATAAATTGCACACCCAAATCTGCCCTGAAGTTCAAGTCGCGTAAACAACATTTTATTTGTGGACCTAAGAAAAAACAGTGTTTTGGTATGAACAATTATACAAACCTTCAGCAGGGACAATCCAGCGTGGCAAGTCCGTACACGATGCTCTGCCTTCAGTATTAGTGGCTCCCTTGTCAGCGATGCTGAACAGAAGCCCAGCAACATGCTCACAGGTCTCGCTGAACCTGGAAGCCATGAGCAAAGAGCATGAACTTCTCCTAATTTGAAAACCATGTTCAGCACGCAGTGTTATACCCCTGTCAGATGGCAGCTAAAATGGCATTTACGCCAAATGATATTCAGCTTCTCAAATGACATTCAAGATGGGGCCTGCCAGACGACAACTAAAATGACATTTAGGTGATGTTTATTGCGATTGCGTTCGCTAAGTCGAATCAGTCACACAGAGTATGCTTTTGCGGTAACGATTGTTAACTACACTGCAGCAATTCAGGAATTGCCCCAGTAGTGCAACAAAATCCAGAGATGTCCTTAGCTGGCATGCAACAAACAGTGGCATGACCTGATGCTTTCACAGTACTGGGAGCACAGTGGCTTTGGTGCAGGCAACAACAGTGGAAAAATGTTGTTGGTGACATGCTGTTATGCAAGCTTATACCTAATGAAGTACAGGCGGTGGTGGGTTTCATTCAGACAGAAGAAAATTGCTTGGACCACCTAACTAGTACTTTCTTCACTTGTGAGCCTGCACAGAATGACCGTTTACTTGGAGGCTTTATTAAGAAACGCCATCATGGCACCTGCAAGGTTTTGTTGCGAGTTTGCCATTTCTCTTTGTGCCTTCACAGCATCCTGCTGGATCTTTAGTGCCTCTCGCTGGACAGCCAGCTCCTGCTCCTTGAGCTCGAACTCTCTGTTGCGTGCCGCTTCATAGCTTGCCAGCAGTTGTGCTTGGCGGTCTATTATAACTTGGAACGCAGCAGTGCTGGGGCTCTGCCTCTTTCTCTTTGGCCCTCTCGGCTGGGCTTTGTCCTTCGCCTCACTGCTGCTCCCGCTACTTCTTCTTGAAGCCATAGTAGAGTCAAAGCCAGCACTGGTACTGGCATCTGTGCTTTCATCCTCGACATCTGCAGCACGCTCCCAGTGGACGTCTTCCTCGGGGGGGTTGCCTTGTGTCTCCAAAAGGAGGTGTGAAGAATGTTACAAGATGAGCTTTGCATAGAAAAGAACATGAACTTGCAAGTGGCCAAGTATTGCCCGCAGCCACCATGCAAGGTGTTTCTTGAGACGAGAGTCAAATTGTATCTGAAAAGCATGCAGCGCACACAAAAGGCCACTTCCAGAAAAAACAATTTCGGTGTAATAAGTTCATTATTTACATTCGAGTAATGACTTTTGAATTTGTAAATTTAATAGTATGCTTTTAACAGGAAATTTTATCAGCATCATCGGAAATCACTTAATTCATTTTAGAAATGTATAAAGCACATACAGGGAGGGCTTTACGGTGTCACGAACAAAGAGCTAGATTTTGATGAGTTTCTAGGTTTCGGTTTTCTGTCTGAGCACTTCTTTGTGGCAGCGGTTCTGCCCTCCGGCAAGAGGACAGTTCAATTCTCACGCTGTTGCACAGGTACTAATGCACACAAAAGCAGATACCAGCACAACCATGCGACATAAAGTGTGATAGTTAAAGAGCAGTAAAATACCTCGAGAAGCTGGCACCCCTCGATAGAGCCGCTCTCAAAAGAAGCATGCGCCATTCAGAAAAGAGTAGTTTGTTAAGCCGTGACGTCCATAATGCCAGGAAAGCAGTGGAAGCGATAAGCTGGTAGAGCGATAGAAACCCTTTGAGGTGCATTTGTTGCCGAGTTCTTAAGAGTCTCACTGACTAAAACTCCATTTCTTTGCTAGCAGCGCACTGGTATATACACAAAGTACAGTTACAGTCTTTGCATACCCCTAGTCTGCAAAGGCTTTCAGAAAGGCTTTGCAGACTTTTTAAAGCATAGCTTTGCCACCATTTTAAACGATTGTGTCAATAATTGACACCAACACCAGCGACACACGTGAGACGGCTAACGTGCATGAGACACTTTTGTTGGGACGCAGCTGCATGAAAAACCTCTGGCGAAGTTCAATCAAGGAGCAATTAGCATGAATGGAAAACCAATGATATCAGATTCCACAGCAACCTAATTATTGAAACACTTCCTTTCTAAATACATGAGTAATATATCCTTCGTTGGCTAGTTTTCTGCTTACATACAAAAACATGCCACCTCGCTTCAGAGTACAGCGGAACTGCTGCTTGGACTTCGCCTGACTACAAGCCTGGATTTCTTGAAGCCCTCTACTGAGCGAAATGTCCAGAGGGCACAGTACAGGCAGCTGTCATCCAGTGGTCATTGAGCATGTCAGTTTGCTGTTGGTGAGCATGTGTATGTCAAGAACTTCCACCCACGAGACCTTTGGCTGGAAAAAGTCATCCTGTCTCGTGCAGGACCTCTATCCTACCAATTGTGAATGAAAACGTGTGGTGGTACATTCAATTGGCGACAGCACCTAAACCACCTGAGGCCATTGCGAGTCTACCGTTCTTGGCATGGACGACATCAATCTGGTGCTTCCGTGCTTTGGAGTGTCCAATCGAGTGCCGGTGCGGGCACGGGAAACAGAAATTGTGGACCAAGTGCCAGAGCTGGGAAGTGAGCCAGCAACAGTAGAAAGAGACGTGGGGGTCAGTGCTCCTGGCCGGGAATCACAGGCAACACCGGCCTGAGCGACGGTACCTAGAGAGAATTCGGGGCACTCCGATCTGGTGCCACGATTTTGTAATGTACTTTAATCGAGCGTAGAGGAGTGTGTTGTATATGGTGTTAAATTTTCTCGCCAAATTTGGCAGGAAAATTTTCCTGGGTAGGGTGGAGTCTGGTGCGACGTCACAAGGGTAAATATTTTCCACCAAATGTAGCAGAAAAATGTTACCCTCGTGATGTCGCATGTGACGTTATTATGGGAAACACCCCATAATGTAACACACTGTTACGGTGATGGCGACAGCGACGCCGCTCAACCTGGAAACAGGTGCCCAAGAGCTGCGCTCTAAAACAATGTATTAATAATGCCTGGCTTGACTGGCATGTTTTGCCCATACACCAGACGAGAAGGGCACACAAAGCACTACTGCTGCAGCGTGACGTAAAAGAGTTGGTGTATACGGAGCGCCCACCAACTATGTCCATCTAGGGCTGCCACAATGGTACGGTTCACCAAGAAATGCACACAGGCTCCACTCCCTATAAGGACACAATGCTTACAAAGCATGTACACAAGAAAGAGCCACGAATAAAAACTGAAAGATGGATACCTCTGAAACTGCAGGTGTGGCTCTCTCCAAGCAGTCGCTCTCCTCCAACAGGCTGCTGTCATCTACAGGCAGCTACCCCATGATGCGGTGTGTTTCCCAGTAGAAGGGTCAAGTGATACCACCAGACCCGGTGGTGGTGCAGGTCCTCTGTTGTTTTCTAGGGAATGAAATTGCAGTGAGTGGAAGGTTTCTGGTGAAAATCTTCAGCATATGTGAAATTATCCGTATAGCTGAAATCAGCGTAAAAGCGATCTCGGAATGGGGATCTGCACATAATATGCTAGTTGTTCTATTCCACTTACAGATGAGGCTGATGATATGAAACCTGTTTCTGCCACATTACGTAGCACTGTGCACTTGGAGCCCGATGGAGTCGCCATCATTCATGACGTGATCATGCTATCATCATCATTAATTTTTTTTCTTTATTTATTTAGACACACAGTTACACGCTATAAACGTGTTTTTATACATTTAAATGGCTTTGAGAATACAAACTCATCGTGAAAATATCGCGTCCCTGATTAGCTGCTGCCGATTCAAAAAGTTGCTCGCTTGTTTCGAGCCGAACAACCGGACCCGATCCCAGCAATTTGTGTCGATCTAGGGAAAAACCCGCTAGCAACCCCAAAATTGCTGAGAAAGTTGCTCCGTCTGAAGCGGGCCTAACGAAACGCAGCCGGAAAGTCAGCCTACATACGGGACTTCCCACTATTTCGAGGTACGCAATGCAGTTGTGGCGGGTAGGCGAGCATCGGCCTGGTCGCAGCTGCTGCCACTTGTATTGCGTGTGTCCTCGCACTACTAGAGCCTGAGAACGGCAGGATGCTTCTTTGGAATGCCCTGGCTTCAACACGCACCCGCTGCCCTTTGCCGCGCCTTGGCTGGGCGTGCATGGCCGGGGACCCCAGACTCACGAGAAGCCAAAACGCTATCGAAGGTACCGAGCGCGTGTGGGAGGCAGTCTGGCAGAACTAGGCTCCTCTTTGTTTATTATCAGTTTCTACAGCAGGCTACGTTCAACTTACCGGTATGTGTTCAACACGTTCTCGGTCTTATGATGCACCTGGTTGACGGGCTTCTTGAAGCCCTTCTCGGCCAGTTTTTCCGCCATGTGGCGTACACCCCGAAGTTTCTTTTTGCTCTCCGGAGGTTCTCCAGGCGATCCTCCCAGATTGCCAACAACACCCAGGCTTCGTGCACGCCCCACTGGACGTGATGCACAAGTTTTTGATCGTAGAAAGGATTTACTTCTCCGAGGATGAGTGGTTGGCGTGCAAAGCGGCACTGCATGGATTTTATTTTTCAGTGCTACTTCCGTACTTGTGCAGAAGTAGCACATAAGTGTGACACATATGAGGGTAAATGTAAAAATTAAAATGATCCTTAGTATTCTACGAAACCTGGGAAGCACAGAAAGTTTTATTCGTTCATTATAAGGAGCTATGGAATGTCTGAAATGCATTGTATGCACTGCATCAGGGGTGGCCAGGCTGACCCGGCCTAAGAGCCGCAAACAAAACCACGAAACTTCCAAGAGCTGCTTGGGGGGGGGGCAACCTTTTGTCCTCAGCAATAAACAAAACTCAAACTACTATCAATCTATATGAGTAAAAATGAGTCCAACTGTATGTAAGGTAGTAGCAGTACAAGACTACCAAACCGCAACCCGTCTTTCGATTTAATACATGTTTCATTTCTCTTTTTGGGGAACTGCTCGTGTGGCCGGGACGGCCACACGAGCAGTTCCCCAAAAAGGGGAACTGCTCGTTCCCCAAGCAGTTCCCCAAACAAGCAGTTCCCCAAAAAGGGGAACTGCTTGGGGGGGGGTTGAAGAGGGAGCCGCGAGCCACACTTTAGCACGCGAAGAGCCGCATGCGGCTCGCAAGCCACAGCTTGGCCACCCCTGCACTATATACTCTTGGCTCCCCAGGTTCAAAAAGAATGCTAAAGACATTTTTTTTTTATTCTCAGTGTGCATGCATGCTTGCCGAAGTTAGGCATAAGCTCCCAGCATGTGCCTGTCAGCACCTTTCTGTTATCATAATTCCGTGTAGCACGCACTGTCTGCTACCTACATTTGTGGATTGATGCCCTTCTCTTCACTGTTTTTTTTATAGCAGCTTTACAGCGTTTTCATTGCAGTTTAACATTCTGTGTTAAGGAGGACATGGGACTATGTTTCAAATTTTGTTTTAAAAATGCATCTTTTAATTTTGAGGTTTTTCGTTGTAAAACCTAATTATAAACCCTTAATGCTAAATTTGATAACCATATGTTAAATAGTTACGCTGATATAAAATATTTTCAACACATTGCGAGGCAGTAACGAAGTAAGAGTTCAATGTTTGAATGCATTTTTCCAGTTCCACTTTTTGCTGCAAATTTCAAACGAGGGAGTCTTTTGTTTGAAGGTAAAAGTATTCTGATATCACAGTCGAGATGTTTCTGAACTGAAATCTAATGAGGAATCTGGATATCTAGCTTATTTTGTTTAAGTTGAAGTCCTCATTGAGAAAAAAACTATGGTTTCAAAAATTGATGTAGGACAGATATGCATCTCATATTTTGAGGTAATAACTCTTCCTGAAATATTCACATTTGAGCTATAAAAACTAGATAGCCCGAAGTCCCACACCTCCCACTATATATTCAAACCGTCAAAATGGTGCTTAATGGCTTCATTTGCATATCAGATTTCTTAACAAAGAGTGGTATATCTTATGCAGGTATGTAAAGTTGTCTTAGAGAGTTGCAATTTTGCACAATAAACTTACATCTGATGTAAATTTCATTCCGATCACTTGAGTAGTTCAAAAGTTAAATCTCTAGCCAGTGTCGCCCCTTAATGTGGAGTTTTATGTGCTGAACTAATGGAAGGCCATTAGCATGTCGCAACAAAGGTCTGTGGCATTATTTTCATCTTGGTTTAACCTGTTAAACTGTGCCTTCTCCGGATTAAGCCTTTGTCACATTCCAAACCACCCTGACCGGTATTCAAATCCACAAACTCTTGAGTGCCAGGGACATGTCGCATCAAATGTTTTGAATATGTTATGTGGTCATTTATCCCAGTCACTTGTAACGATGCAGTTGTCTTTTATAATTTTTTCACGAAACATTGTTCTGCTTTATGTTTAGGCCAACTGTGTAGCACCAATTTGTTTACTGTGCCATTTTTAGTACCCATCCTTGCATCCCAAATCTCCTTCACAAATATGCAAAGGGAGCAGTAAATGCATGTAAATACAAAAATAAAACCATTGTCGTGCTCTTATCTCGTTAACTATATTCTGGAGTTTATTACACTTGATTTAGAGCATATGTAAAGCACAGATAGAAACAAAGTTAAAAGTTTTTTGATCCAAGCAAGAATCCTCCCAAACACACATGGGCATGGCGTTTACACACTGCTAGTCCACATTGCCACTGTCTTGCTGGCGTAGCAAAGGGCTCTGAAAGTTTGTTAGAATCGTGCAGATGGTCCATATCTCATTCACCACTGGCCCCAATGACAGTGGGATTGCACGATCAAAGATGTGGAAGCTCTTGATACGCTGAATCCTTCTTTCGACGTGTATTCGCAGTGATGCTATGTTTTCCGTTTCTTTCACTTCATTCTCTGTGAAGGTTCCCTGGCCAAGGAACGGGGGGATGTTGAGTTCCACATTAATCTCTGTTAGCAGATCTGATATCAGGAACCCTTTATCGGCCATGACCGAGTCACGCTGGTCAAAAGCAAGCTGCAGAAACCCGCTCTGTCTCACACACTCCTTGTCGGACATCGAGCCTAAAAAAAGCTGTGACACAAATGTCACAGCTCCGTCTGGAGAGATGCCTACAAGTCCTTTGAAGGTATTTGTAGACTTGTATGTGGAGAAACTTGCCGACTGGAGAACAAGTGAGCTGGGCACCTGGCACTTGATTTCTGTCGCATCCAGGATCACCCTTGTCGTAGGATACTTCTCCTTAAAGGCAGGTGGCATGTCCTCATCAACCTGCTGCCGCGTTGCCCATAAGTCTAGTCTTGCAAAGTGCATGTATAAGTAGCTAATCCATGTTGTGCACAGGCGCGAAACCGTGCCAACAGAAATTCCAAATCGGAAGGCCAAGTCCTTCTCAAACAGTCCAAGGCGCAGGCGAACCAAGATAAGGAAGAGTTCGTCGTGAGGGGGCAAGCTTCGGGGCCGACCTTGCTTGCTGTCCTGAGAGTAGGATACTGACCACAGCTTCACATTCTCTCCGTTCTGGCCTGGGTCCACAAACTGGAGCAAAAACATGAATGTTCCATAATCGGGCAGTCCCGTGTAAGACTGGACGTCCTCTGGGGCATCCTTAAGGCTGCGGTCCCACGGCGGCCATGACATACGACGCTTTCCGCACGTTTTCGAAATGCGATTGTGGCGTGTTCAAGCTTTCTAAAATTATGTGTTATATATCATCTTGTCCTGTACAACATTATCTTTCCTCTGATGTAGGATTTGTTTCCCTAGTGCAAAACGCTAATTCAGTGGGCAACCGCGAACATTGGCCTTTTCGGCAAAACATGGTTTCGTAGTACAGTGGTACAGGGTTCACAATTGGAGCAATTTATTTCAAATTTTAGAATGTTATAGAAGAAGAGTGCGTTCATTGTCATTAGAGGCCCTTTTTTCGTTTTTCATTTTATTTTGACAGATATTTACTTTAAAAAATGTACCTCGCGGAAGCACATTCAGTCGCGGATTTTTGGTCGCCTACTCGGTCATTTTATTTGAAACCTTTTACATGTGTTTGCAACTATGGTAGAAAGAGCTACGCTAAATTTCATTGTAATATGGCCTAAACTTTTTTCGGAATGCTCACGTGAAAAGTGACAAAAACAGTTTTTTTTGGCAAACTTCATTTGGTAGTACAGTGGTACAGCGCTTAGGGATTGGCACATTTGAATAAAATTGTAGACCTGCAAAGAAAAACATATTCTGCTTTGTCGTTAGAGGCCCTTTTTCTAAATTTCACCTTTGAGTTTCCATAAAAAAAGTTTGAATATAGGCGAAATCACGAATTTGTTGATAGTCAAAACCGAGTATTTTGACCCTTTTTGGCAGACATTTAGGCTGATATTTTTAGTATTAAATGGAGATTACTGTTCCAGGTCCTGATTATTAGCCCACATTTTCACTAATTGAGCCTATTTATTAAAAAAAATCATAAAACATACAGAAAACACAAATTGGATGTCTGGTTGCGCCCTCTATGTGGCGGTGGCTGAAATGTGACTACGCGAGGTTCAGGAAACTGCCGAGGATGGCGCTGATTCCAGCTGTGGTTGCCAGCTTCGGAAACTGGTTGTACACTTGGCTTCTTCCGTTTCTTGCAAAATAACGTGCTGGAAAACTTGGTCGAAACTCGTGAGGTCCTTTATAACACGGTACTTTCTGCTAATATAGCTTTTAGGAAGAATTTCAGTCGCTTTTATATTGTCATATGATTTTTTTTTTATGCAAGGCTCCACCGGTTCAGTTTGCTGAATAAATTGTTCACGCAATCGATATCGAAGTTTCAAATTACCGAAATGCCAAAATCGCCAGTTCCGCGTAGATACGCAGCGTGACGCACGTGCTTCTGGTGCGTGTGCACGTACGTGTTTGCTGCGTGGTTCTTCGGTTGCTGCGAGTTTTCGCATATTTATTGTGCACTGCTTACCTCCGTCTCCGCACGCCTCTCATCCTTGTAACAACCCCTGCTCTGTTTGCCTAGAGTGAAGTTTGTGTCTGTCTTTTCCTTCGCTGACTAAGCTCGTGTCGGTGTCCTTCCTACTGGCTGCTGTTCGTGTTTGCGTACCGTGTGTGTCGCTTTGATTACTACGTCCCCTGCTTATGGGGTGGAGCAAGCGGTGGGCGTCGCGCCAGGGGTGGGTCGTGATTGGGGAAACAGCTTAGCAGCCGACGCCGACTTCGGCGCGTTTCTTCTGCGCACGCGCGTACTGTCATTGATATCGCTACTTCGCGCCGTGACGATGCGCTGATCTACAGGCCGGTCGGCGCTCGCGTGATATTGTTGAAAATTCTCGAGCGTGTACTTACGTTTCGAAAGCCATAATAGAATTAAAGTGGACATTTGGCCGGCAGCCGGCATACCGTGGCTCTGAAAACAGATTGCTAGGAGTGCCCTCTCATTCGCTGGTTCCACGCTGGGTGCGCGCAGTCCGTGCTTCTGGCCTCCCCGGCCGCCCAAATGCGTTTTTCTGATGTTTTGTTTTCAGTAAACAGACAATAGATTCCTGCTGATATTCTCCTTTATAATCTTCACTCTTGACAACTCTTTAGTGTTGGAAGGAACTCCGTCAAATTTGACGATAATGTATGTGTAAGTACAACTGGAACCTCATAGTTGCAAGAATACTTTTCCTGGATTGTCTGCATTAGAGTGCCTCCATGTGCGCTTCGCGCACATGAAGGCTCCCTAGTCTGCACCTTTCTGATAATATGATCGGTCTCCATAAATTGCTCTTCTCCGCTTCGGGAGCACGGCCAGCGGTGGTTCTCTGTCGGTCATCGAACCTCACACACGTGAAGCGTTGTCAAAGCTGTGATATACCGGGCGTTTTATTATTATGTTTTGTTTTGTTTTGTTTTTTTGCTGAAAGAAATTATACTTTTGGTATTCCCGGGGATAACATTATCGGCTGCGGCGGACGTAAAGGAACGAGCGTAAATTGACAGTTGGTGGCCTAATAAACTAAAATTTGCCATTTGCGAACGCTGGAGAGGGGGCGACCTCCTCTCCCCCGTTCGCTCCGCTGAAGTGGAACAGGGTGGGAGGAGCTCCCACTTCGTTCTTGACCTGTCACCGACTACAGTTGCGAATTCAACTTGTCATTTTGGAGCGATGACGAGATAGAGCTGAGTCATGTATTGCGTTCTCTGAGATGAAGAACGCAATGCGCGCGGAGTTGCTCCACGTATGCACCAGTCACCAGTAAAAACGACCTGTCCTCCGAGGAGGTCGAGCGAGACGCTGGCTGACATGGGGGTCGGTCACCTCACCGTCACCACCGTCTACCGTGCCTTCAAAAATACGGGGCGCAATGTGTTTCTGCAGTATAACAAAAAAATTGAACAAACAAGGTGCAAACTTTCATTTTTTTCCTAAGTGTGGTTTGCAGGGCTGAACCGAATACAAAAACGATACGCCGTGCTGGGATGACGTCCACTACAATGGTACACGATCATAACAAGAGCACAAATCCTGCCACATTATTTTGCTACAGTGATAAGAGCATATATATCTTTGTCCGCGCCCAAGCAACCACGTATGTCCGTCGGACGTCCGAACAAGAGCCGAATATCCATTGCCAGGGAAGGATGTCCGTCGGACGTACACTGGACATCCGTTTCCGTACGTCCAAATTCGGACTAATAGTGGACGTCCTGTGGATATACAGAAATGGATGTCCGAGGGCTGTCCATTTGTGGATGTTCGAACATATCCCAATAGGTATTGGGAAACCATTCAAAAACAGTTACTTAAAAGTGGTCCCATTCTGCACTAAACGATTATCATAACAGAACCTTTTTGTGCAGAGGATATACCTTTCCCTAATGAAGATAGGTTTGAGGCCCCCCCCCCCCCCCAAGATTCTTTGACAGATTTGATGGCCCCTTCAAGATTTCCTGAGGTCTTAAGAGGTCCCATCACAGTATTTCCTGAAGTTCCATAGGGGCCCATCACAATTTTCTGCAAAGTCTGATGGGCCCTCTAGGATTTGCTAAGGGTTTGAGGGGCGCAATAGATGCTTTCTGGGGTCTCCAAGATCATTCAATAGGTATGACGGGGAAAAAAAGAGGTGGACACATCGGTAATTCGTTTTTTTTTTTCAAGTGTTGTCCGAAGGTCCATTAATAGAGGCCTAGAACCTTAGAATTGTAAGCTCCTTTCAAGCTGATACTGTGTGCGGTAAAAAGAAAAACAGTATTGTATGTTCTCGACTACAAGTAATCAAATGAATTGTGATGCATGTGTACTACTTTTTAAAGTAATTTTGCAATCATTTGATTACATTTTACGTAGTGATGTCGCAGTGCCAGTTGGCCTTATGTTTCGTAAGCTAGAAGGAAACAAGGATGTTAGACAGCAAAATAGTTTTTTATTTGCAATCAGAACCAGGGCAGAGGCACCTTTCTCACACTTGAAGGTAGATGCCTACTCTCCCTTAGAAGTGGTGCACCTCTCCTTTGCGCGGCGAAGCCACTCCTTGACTTCCGTTTCCACCTCTTTTTTCGTAGACTCTTTGCAGTGCTTTGTCCGCTTTATAGCAGCTGAAAGCAATAGATGACCCTTATAGTACAACTTAAAAAGGCAGGGAATTGCGTTGCAAACTTCTACTTACCAAAGATCAATTTGTACAGCTTAAGGCTACGGAAAACCTTCTTCCCTTTGCGCCCATCCATGCTGAACTTGGCTGCAGCTTCGTCACTAATCAGGTGTGCAAGCATAGACCTTACAGATGTTTTGATAGACAGGTCCCCAAGGGAGGTCAGCTCCACAACCTGGAAGGAACGTACAGAGCACGACACAGTTAATACGAACAAGACATAGCCAGTTTTCGCTGTTTTACTCTGACCAGTGAAACGCTATCCCCAAAGCTACTTATATCATGGAAAGGGTTCATCTTGGGGCAATAACCTTGGTTATAAGAAAATGCAATCCTCAATTCACTGTCCATGCAAAATGCCAATGCCGTGTTTGAGCACATAAAACGTGGGGCTGGTGCCTGGGGAACGTAAGACATGACATAAGGAGCATTACGATACCCAGAAAGCAAGTATAGCCAAAAATGTTTGGCATTCAAGGTTAGCTGGATAGAAAGAACCTGAGCATGAATGGGTTTACAGCTTGTATTAACTGGGCTAGGCTTTACAATTAGCCAATTCACACCCCCTCTTTATCTCCGAGGCCAGTATGAGTGAACTGGTGATACCTTGAGAAAGATTGAAGGAATGTGAGGGCCCAAATTTTATTTTATTTGGGCAGTTGTTTACACCTCCTAGTCATTGTTCTATCTCATTAGTCATTTCCCATGCTCTAAGATCTGGAACTGTGGGACAGAGTTGCCATTTGAAGAAATACGGAAGTAGTCAGAGCTTGCTCTACACTCATGAAATAATGCTAAAGTATAGCACCATTACAAACACCTTTGTTGCTTACCAGAGAACAGGCAGTCTCACCCCTTCGATGCATCTCGATTTAAAATCACAGCTTGCTCCTAGCTTATTTGTTATCTGCATGTCTTAACCTTAGCTGCACACTAGGGATAAGACATAACAGCAAAGTCTAGAGAATGCAAACACCAATACTTGCCTCAGTAAGTGACAAAAACTAGAGTATGGGCAGGCATTGATAACAGCAATTGCTTACCAAAGCCTCACTCGTGGCATCTGTAAGAGCGCCATCAAACACCTCAATTGCTTCAGGAGTGTCGAGGGGATCAACGAGGATCGGCTGGCTGGGCTCTACAACGAAACTCTCACGCGCTCGTAGCAATGTCGAAATTATGTCCATTATCTCCGTCTGCTGGCTCCTCATGACGCTCATCCCATTCAGCACCCGTCGCTGAAACTCTGCATGCAAAGAAAAGGCTTGAAATAAATATTGGCAAATAAAATTAGTGCAGGCAGGAGACAACATCCTACTTACCAGCAGCACTCAAGATCCTAGCAGTGGCCCGCAGATCAGCTAAAAAGAAAAAAAAAAGAAGGCAAAAAGTCAAGAGCTTAGCCATTTCAAAACTATTCAAAGTTGTGCAACCATGCTGTGAAAGAAAAACAATTGAAATCAAATTAGCTTACCGCAGGTCGAAGCACTGGTGCTAGGCGTCATGTGTTGCATAGCCTGCAGTGCTGAAAAAATTTAATGAAGGACACACAAAATATCTTAATACGCAGCTGCAACACAATTCTGCAGTAAAGTACCTTGATCTAATCGACTGGGAGCCGACATCCTTGTCAATGTTTGAGATGCGGTTGAAAAACCACTGGCATCTACGAAGATAAAGACAACTGCAGGCGCTAGATGCAATAAGGGTACAAGGTGACATGGATTTTTCTCATATTTAGGTTCCTAGATGTGAAGAAAGCCACCTTGTTTTTGGTGGCATGGTGCTCCATATATTTGCTTGCCCAAATTTGATTAAATATAAAACTTCAGCGCTCACACGGAAATGAAATTAAAGTTAATTGGTTCTGCAAGCTTTGCACCTCAACTTGCAGCAATATGTGCATAGCCCCTCATTTGTAAAATGGCCATACATTATAGGTTGTTCGCACATAACGTCAATTTGGCATTTTGTTGTTAGCTTGTTTTTTCACACAAATTTACTACATTGAAGGATTACATCGTAACCGGTTGAGATGATGTCAGCGGTGCTCTACGCATTTGAGGGGGCGTGTCAATCCTTGGAATGCTCGAGTTTGGCACACGCCAGACAGCTCACAACAACAAAATGGTGGACGAAATTACGTCAGTGAAAACACCCTATAGCTACCTTTATCTTGTGGACTGGGAGCCAGCGTGTTTATCGAAGTGCTAGACGACTGGGACGAACCACTAGCACCTGTTTGGAGATGTCTGATTAAGTTGGGAATTGGTAACATTAGAATACAAAAAGCGAAAAACAATATAAGTGGTTTTCAGGAGAAACTGTACCTCGCATTAGTGCAGCTTGCGACATTTCACTGTGTATTGATCTTGCCGGGCTCGCACTCTGTGATTCCAGTCTCTGGCTACTGGCTGTGAAAAGCGACCAGAAAACCTCAAATTGTAAGATGAAAAAAGTACAAATTGATCTCCCAAAATATAAAAAATGCAGTTGTGCCCCAACCCCCTATATAAGCACATTGTTTACGTAAAACGACAGATCAAGTACGTCTGACGACACACCCTAGACTTATCAAGTGCCAGGTTCGAATTCTAAGCTAAAGGTTAAGAAACAGTTGCAACGGTCAACAAGGCTGTCAGCTGCAGAACAAAATAAAAATCAAATAGCGTTACGCGAGTTCTGCCGTGCGCAGAGCGGCATCGGGGCTTCCGGGAATTCATCCGAGCTTGAGTCGGACTCGCTCCAGCGTGTGGGGCGAAATCTCCTACGCTTTGGGCGTATCTCCTCGTCCGAGAGATCAGATGTGAACCGCGACCGCTCCAACTTAGATCGCCCTTCTTCGTAGGAATCTGTAGTTACATAAGAAAAAAATACTTACAATTAATGAACACTGCTGCACGCATGAAGAGATGCAATATACTCACTGAATAGTCCTTTCACAGTCACCTCGAACTCAGAAAACCCTGGTCCTGGTGGCCCCCCCTTTCGCACTAGCTTGACAGCCTTATCGGTGGACACCTTCGGCCATAAACACTTGTTTCCCGTGACCCACGTGCAAGGCACAATCTCCACCTCTTGGGTTAACGTAAATTCCACAATTGCATACATCTCTGAAAATGAACAGAAAAACTGATGTGAGAAAGTCATCTACACTAACCGGATCTAAAAAGTTATGCAAAAGCTAAACATTTACCTTGAGCTGCTGAAATGGCGGCGGTTTCACGGTACCGTCGCTTTCACCGACAGTAAAACGTAAAACCCGGTCGTGGTAACACCAGAGTCCAAACCACGCGCTCCTAGAGCCGACAATGCACAAATATCGATGGATTTCGTTGGCTATGGATTTTAACGGATATGTGACACTAGCGGCACCTAGAAAAGTTGAAAACTACATGACGTCGGGGTTAAACATCAATAAATAAATAAATTGGTAGCGTTTGTTTTATTCATACATTAGTTTGGTGACTTATCAATTTAAACAAATCTCCACAGACAAATTATAACAGCACAGTCGTACCGTCGGTGTCATCCTTGGTGTTATCCTACGTTGATTTCATGAATTGCAGTTTACACCAACACGCTCGGCAACAAGCAGTAAAATAATTATGCCTAATTTTTAACAACAAACAAGAAAAGTAGCGAGAAGTATATTCTTATTGAATCATATACCGACTAACCACTGATCGGTATAGCCAGCTTCGCGACCTCACCTGTCTCGGCTGGCAACCCGATTTTCGAGTTTTGTTCTTTTTCTTTGTTTCTTCCGTGTCCACGTTGTTGCTGTCGCGTGTCAACGGTTATACAACGGTGTTACTAAAATATTTTTATTTCTGTTTTAAGTAGTATGGTGCGTGTGTGGCAGTACTCACGTTGGACAATGTTCCAGAAGAACTTTTCGTCTAGTTGAACTATCTGCTTGAGTTGTCCATTTCGGGTTAGTACTTGCTTTCCATACCACGTCCTTTTTTTCCATCCCCCTCTCTTTTTGTGTTACTCGAAATTCATTCCGTTCGTGTTTTCGTAAGTAGCGTCCTAAAGGACTAGTACAGATGTTGGCTAGCGTTTCACAACTTTCGTTCACCTATAGTTGAACGGCCTACTTGTTTCTATTTTTGGGAAAGTTAGTTTAGTCTCATTCTGAACCGCTTCGTTATTTCGCGCATATCATCCGTACCACGCTTTGTTTTTTCCGTCTTCGCCCGTTCCTGTCTGACTGGAAGCACATCCAGTCTGCGACTGTGAGCTACAGGTACGTTGACGGTGTATGTGAAAATTGCACGCACTCATGCCTTTGTCAACTTGTTTTCTTAGGTCTGCACGGTGGAGAGGGGCTTCCCCACGCCTGGGTCAAGCACATCCAGTCTGCCGCTGTGAGCTACAGGTACGTTGACAGTGTATGTGATAATTGCCCTCACTTATGCCTTTGTCAACTTGTTTTCTTAAGTCTGCACGGTGGAGAGGGGCTTCCCCACGCCTGGGTCAAGCACATCCAGTCTGCCGCTGTGAGCTACGGGTACGTTGAAGGTGTACGTGAAAATTGCCCTCACTTATGCCTTTGTCAACTTGTTTTCTTAAGTCTGCACGGTGGAGAGGGGCTTCCCCACGCCTGGGTCAAGCACATCCAGTCTGCCGCTGTGAGCTACAGGTACGTTGACGGTGTACGTGAAAATTGCCCTCACTTATGCCTTTCTCAACTTGTTTTCTTAGGGCTGCGCGGTGGAGAGGGGTTTCCCCACACCTGGGTCAAGCACATCCAGTCTGCCGCTGTGAGCTACAGGTACGTTGACGGTGTACGTGAAAATTGCCCTCACTTATGCCTTTGTCAACTTGTTTTCTTAGGTCTGCACGGTGGAGAGGGGCTTCCCCACGCCTGGGTCAAGCACATCCAGTCTGCCGCTGTGAGCTACAGGTACCTTGACGGTGTATGTGATAATTGCCCTCACTTATGCCTTTGTCAACTTGTTTTCTTAGGGCTGCACGGTGGAGAGGGGTTTCCCCACACCTGGGTCAAGCACATCCAGTCTGCCGCTGTGAGCTACAGGTACGTTGACAGTGTATGTGATAATTGCCCTCACTTATGCCTTTGTCAACTTGTTTTCTTAGGTCTGCACGGTGGAGAGGGGCTTCCCCACGCCTGGGTCAAGCACATCCAGTCTGCCGCTGTGAGCTACAGGTACGTTGACGGTGTATGTGATAATTGCCCTCACTTATGCCTTTGTCAACTTGTTTTCTTACGGCTGCATGGTGCAGAGGGACCTCCCCATGCCTGGATTTTGCACCATATGTTCATAACACACTTAAACTTCCCTTTAGATGACAGGGAATAGCTTTTCCCCGTCATCTACAGGTAGGTTTCAGTGTGTTGTGAATATGCACTCATACCTTCGTCAATTTGTTTGCTTGGCGGGGGAGAGGGGGAGCCGTAGCGGCCTCCCTCCACCGAGGACTAGCACTTCGTCACTCGTCCGGTTAATTTGCGATAGTTACCGGCACTGGTATCTTAAGCTTTTCTCGCTAGGCATGAGATTGCTTTTCCACGACACAGCCAATCTGGTAGATAACATAGGCTAAAAATACTGAAAAAGTCTCTAGGCACAAGTGCCATTCATATAGTCCAATTAATATAATTAAAGCATATTTCTTTCATTTGTTTACAGACGGACACTCCCTCCAAGGTCTGACTAGGACATGGGTCAGACAACAGCAAGACAGCTGCTAAATATATGGCAGAAGAGCTTTCCAGGGCAGAAAGGTATTGCACAGTTGACAAAAAGGGCGACTGTCGAGGAGTGGAGCCACCAGAAGATCTGGAGAAAATGCATACTATTAAAATTATCATCTTATTTCAATATAGATTTGGCTCATGGTCTTTCATTGGCATAGCATGCGGGCTAGGGTACGACATTTTGAACATTCATAGCTGTCCAAGTAAAGGGTAAAGCATAAAGCGCCGTTCGCACTCTTGCGACCGAGAGACCAGACCGGTTTTTAAGCCTTTTGCGACTTCTTAGGACCGGATGCGCTGCAGCGGAGCTGGTCCTAAGAGATCGCAAGAGGCTTAAAAACCGGTGCGGTCTCTCTCGGTTTTACTCGGTCGCAAGAGTGTGAACGGGCCTTTAGACGTAATGCCCTAATCCCTAGGGATTTTGAGGCGCGATATTCAAAGTATGTCCGCTGAGGATCCCTGTTCGGATGTCCTCCGGATGTACAAAACTCTTACCTTTGTACGTCCGTCGGACGTCCACGGGACGTCCTTCGGATTTTCGCGGATGGCCCTCGGATGTACGATATATCCGAAAAGGATATCCATTGGATGTCCGATGGATGTCCAGTGGTTGCTTGGGCGATGCGGCAACAGAGATATTATTTCCAAATTAGAGTTCGAAGGTAGCCTTCGATGCTAGCACTGACAAACTCACTTCACTCACAGGGTGAAAACGTGAAACTTTGTATCATTCGGACAGAGATCGAAAAATAACATGCACCGCTTCAACTTGGACACCCCAAAATAATTAACTTTAGTAGATCGCACGCAAAAGCTTCGCGTACGCAATAAAATTGCCGGTCAGAAGTGCGGTTCCGCAAACAAAATCAACATATGAGTCATCAAATTATGAAGAAAAACCAGGTGTGAGCGTGCCAAAAATATTCGACATTTATTGTTGTCAATATTTGTTTTTCTATCCACGTGCTTATGTCGCAGTGGAAAGCCGTGAAACTCCCTATAAAATTATTTTGGGCAGTGTTTCCGACGGTGCTCGCTCGATCGTAAAATGCCGCTTTGTTGCTACTTTGGCGAATCAAACAAGGAAGCCACGTTCACCTACAATGCCCTGTCCACAAGAAGGGAAATCAAAATTTTCGCTTCGTTTTCTTTTTTAAATATTCTTCTCTTCTGCACGATATAGGGTATGAATTATTATCCTTCCCTGTACTCTCGCTGCGACGAACAGTCCGATAGACAAGTCACCCTATGACAAAGATGGGGGTCCCGAAAATCTCCTAAAATCGTGTTTGTTCTCAGAGACACATCCGTGTGTAAGAAAAACCGCGGCCCTCTCCACGAAGTACGGACATATTTGATAAATAGCGTTGACTTGAGGTTGAACTTTTCATTTGCTTTGTAAACACAAGCGTGACGTCACGTGCGCATCCCACGCGACCCAACTGAAGTCTGAACTGGTGTACTATGTGTGGACAATAGGGCATTATTTTGACTTCCCAGCCGCGACGACCTTGGCGAGGGAGGACAGATGGGGGTCCCGAAAGCTCCTAGAATCGTGGTTTGTTCGCAGGGACACACACATCCGTGTGTAACAAAAAACGCGGCCCTCTCCACGAAGCTTACACAGGCATTGTTGTGTACCTACTGAAGATGCCTCCCGCAAGGGAGGCGAAACGTCTAGTGAAATTGTTTTTTCCTGTTCTGTGAAGTCGGTGCTTTTATTTTAATTATGTTACCAGTCGGCCTGTGTGACCAGTGCTGATTTGAAGAATCGCCTTTGTCTTTCCTGAACCCTAACAAAAACACCCTCATAACATTTTTTTTTTACTGTTCGGCTACGTTGGCATAGCCTATAATCGACATAATTTTTGCGAAAGCCTACTTTTATTTTATAATTATCTGTAACCATTTCTAATTGAAAAAGTGACAAGTATAATAATTATATTATGATTTCATATCAAAATTCGACGAACCGGGAGATGCGAAATTCGGTGAAACAGCTTTGCAAAAAAATATCCGGTGCCCGAAACTTGCTTATATTAAAATGTCTAACATGTGTATGTGTTCTAATACAGAAGATGAGTGCAATGTGGAAACTGAATGGCCTCACAGACAATTGTCAACGAGTTGGAATTTTCGATGAATTACCCTTTGTCGAGTCATCCTACTACGGATTGGCCTCTTCAATCAATTGCCCATCGACAAATATTGTTGTTGGTTTATTTGCCATCTGGTGTAAGGGGAGAGTGTGGGGCTCGTCAAGCCGACATCTGCCAGCATTTTCATCACGCCTCCAGTGCCTGTACCGACTGACGCCGACGAGTTGGTCTAGAAATAAATACCTACGGACTATACTATAGCCGCTAAATATCTCTACGCGAACATGATTTGTTTTCAAAGGGGCACCCGCCTGTTGGTGCTTCTTTGAATTATACATACGTCACGGTCAAAACGTTCCGCAGCTAATGAGTGAAGGCCGACCAACCTATTTTGACCAATTGTCCGTGTATGGGAGATGAGAATGCCACTGCGTCAAAGACAAGACGTGTGCGAGCGTTGCTAAAAATAGAGACCACTATCGATGTTTTAGTATACATGGTTTCATTCTTAGTCAGAGCGCAAACAGAGGTTAAATGTCACGAAAACACTTACACAAAGACAAAAAGCACTTTATCACGGCGCATTGTACGAGTTGTTATATTAGTGGGTGGAATCACCCAAACAAAGATAGTGAACGCCGTGGCGTTTAGGTGTTGAGCTGTAGGTGATGCTTGATCGGCGCAATGTGTCAGTCGAGCTCCAACTGAGGGTGATATGAGGCGGGGCAGCTCTGTGGTTTTACTTGTTGTTTATTCTGGTGTCTTTCGTTTTTGCGCGAAATATTGCGGATCACAACAGCTAGGCATCTTCGTCCGATGAAGCTCTGTTTTACTGATTGGCGTTTCATCGAATAGTGGACATTTCATCGAACACCGCTTCATTGAACGCCAACTCATCAAGTGGCTTGATCGAATTATGTTTCTGCTATCAAATTATTGCAGATATAATAACTACGCTCGTCATATTTTGTAAATAACGGTAGCCTTTAGCGAAAATTGTGTTGCATAGTTAGTTTCGGCCGTCAGCAAATAGTGAAAAATATATATCTACCTATCTCTCTCTCTTTCTCTCTATATATATATATATATATACAAAGGCAAAAATGCGTACTGTCAGAGTTACTAATTCGAAGTTTACTACGACGTTTCGAGCGGGGACCACTCTTCATCACCTAATGAAGAACGGTCCCCGCTCGAAACGTTGGAATAAACTTCGAATTAATAACTCCCACAGTACGCATTTTTGACTTTATATATATATATATATATATATATATATATATATATATATATATATATATATATATATATATATACAACACGGGCACTTCACGTCATCGTACGTGGTCTCCGAGGAGGATATGAACGACTATGTGCAGATGAATGAACCGTACTTAATCCAATGAATTAAAGAATCCAAGTTTTCAGGAACCCGCCGAAAGCCAAAAATTGGCGGAGCCAGGATTTGAACTCTGGGCCTCCCAATGTCCGGTCGGGTGTGCTAACCACTACACCACTCCACCTTGGCTTTCTGGCGTTTCCTACCTGTCTTATTAATGCACAAGAAACGAAATGTATCCAATCGGAGGTGTTCTGGAAACACACGCCGCCGCGTGGAACGCGGTACGACGCTTAGTGTCACGTGGTACGTGCTCGTTTGTGCTCCAGAAATCCTCCCACTGTTTGTCTCGCCCCGTGTACATGTAGTAGTATTCTTTGTTTATGAGCTTTAGAGACACGGTATCATCATCATCTGCGAGAATCAAGAGCCACGTTATTGAATATACAACACGGGCACTTCACGTCATCGTACGTGGTCTCCGAGGAGGATATGAACGACTATGTGCAGATGAATGAACCGTACTTAATCCAATGAATTAAAGAATCCAAGTTTTCAGGAACCCGCCGAAAGCCAAAAATTGGCGGAGCCAGGATTTGAACTTTGGGCCTCCCAATGTCCGGTCGGGTGTGCGTGAAGTGCCCGTGTTGTAATATATATATATATATATATATATATATATATATATATATATATATATATATATATATATATATATATATATATATATATATATAACACGGGCACTTCACACCATCGTACGTGGTCTCCGAGGAGGATATAAACGAAATTGTGCAGTTGAATGAACCATACTTAATCCAAGTAATCAAAGAATTGAAGTTTTCAGGAACCCGCCGAAAGCCAAAAAACGGCGGAGCCAGGATTTAAACTCTGGGCCTCCCAATGTCCGGTCGGGTGTGCTAACCACTACCACACCCGACCGGACATTGGGAGGCCCAGAGTTCAAATCCTGGCTCCGCCGTTTTTTGGCTTTCGGCGGGTTCCTGGAAACTTGGATTCTTTAATTCATTGGATTAAGTACGGTTCATTCATCTGCAAAATTTTGTTTATATATATATATATATATATATATATACAATTTACCAATACAATGTCTGGACATTTACACTTACCAAGTAACCATTTTCAGCTGTGATTTGAGACTGTGTTGCGGTTATCCCGCTCTTATTTATTTATTTTTTGTTTCTCTTGTTTCTGGCCTTTTTAGTATAGGCTTCCACCAGCTCGCTTGCGCGTGAACTCTAATTTCAAGTGAAACAAGTTTGTAAATTAGGGTGACACTATATAGGTTTGAAATCCTATCCCAATTTTATTGCCATTTGGTGAGCCACGTACGAATTTTGAAATATATCTTTTCATTCAAATAATCGATTAGTAAATCGAATAGCGATTCGTGCGAATTTACTACGACGGGAAGAACGATTTTGCAAATCTCATGGCAATTAGGAAATTTCAGCCATCCTTGGTTTCCGATTGGTCGCGCTCAGTAGCGGCTCCCTCCGCACAGAGTAGCCTCGAGTCAGAATTCGCGGAGTCTCTACTGACCGGCCAAAAAAGTGCGGCGCTTCAACTGCTCCCGCTCAGACGACTTGATGTATTTGTATACGCCCATGACATCGGCCGCGATCGGTGATTGAGGTTCCGTTAGCCGACGCAAGCGTCAGCGGACGTCTCATATTTCCATACTCTCATTTAACTACAGAAACAAAAACAAAAAAAAAAATCATCCTGTTCATGTTCACTATGTTCACCACTGACAAGATAGTCGGTAGTCGACGAGTTTCCGTGCAAAGCCGATCAAAACGAGGCACCAGATCAACTTTTACGGCTGCCATCAGGAAATATCTGGCTTGTCGCGTTCCCTCAACGTCACTCCAAATATTGTTTGTGCCCCGCGCACCATCCTCTTGTAGCAATATTTTTATTGTCCCCATGTGATTTCTTTTTTATGTTCTTACTGGTGTTTGATCATAATTCGGTCATTGAAATAGTTTTTGCTGCCGACCCTACCATTATTTTGACCCTCTGGCAGCAAAGGAATATTATGCCGGCAGTACACACGAAATAAAAATGTAGACACTCCGTCCCATATCTCAAATTACATCACAATGTGTTTACACAACTGTAGTGCAGAGGTACGATGAGCAGGGTCTGAGAAAATATTAGTTTCAGTATTTTCAAAAGAGCGACGAAACAAAATAAAGAAAGGACCGCCAACCGGCAGCGCGTGCAAGCAGCGGCAGTAGTGACAGGAAGCGCGAGGTGTGTCTTTCGTACGGCCGGCATCAACTCACGCACTGTCCGAAGATGTACTCTGTTTTACTCGTAGGATTGCAACGCTGTGGAATGTAGGCGTGTGATTTCAGAAAGCGCGTCCTACCATTTCTGCGCGCGAGTGCTCCTGCAACCCAAGCATTGTATACAGTTACGTCCTCGCGCCCGTGCCTTGGCCAGCCCCGTACACAACGTATGCAGTATCGAAAATGCATAGTTCGAAATTAAAGGTCCCACTTTTCCATAACAAAAAAAAAAAAATTGGCTTGCTTTTTATGTTTATACAGCCTTGATGGAGATGCGCCTCAACGGGTAATCGGTCTCTTAGCTGTAGATGAGAAATTTAGCCAGTGCGATACAACCACTAACCTGGAATTTTTAACGTGCATCACACAGTAGTGATCACACGAACGCGTGCCGGTACGAAACTCATCCAGATCGAAACGGGCGGGGGCGGCGGGGACCGAACCCAGGAGGTTCCCAGCGCAAGCTTTCGCTCCACGCTCCGAGCTGAGACGCGTTAGCCCACTCGGCCACTTCCTCCCTTACTTTTCCATACCGCTTCAAAACCCCATCTCGCTCAAATCACTTGGCAGCAGGGGGCCTCAAGTTGGGGATTATCCGGTACATTGTCCTCCCAACAATGAACGTGGGCGCGACGCGCCAGAGGGTGAACACGTGAAAGGAGGGGCGTAAGAGTGGAGAAGGAAACTCAAGGTCGCAAGCGAGGGGAAAGAGGGTTTCGAAATTGGCGCGCAGGTTTTGCAGCATTTGCTCTTACGGACAGCCAACGCCGCCCTGGTGGTTCAACTAATGTTTTGTTCAAGATGGCCGCCGTGGTACCGCAGCCTTAAAGCACTCGATGGAAAACTTGCGGCTTACTTTCTGTTTTAGTTTTTTGTTCTCTTCTTCTAGAAGTTCTATGTGCCTCTTGAGTTTCAGAACTTCTTTTTGAGCTTTACTGAGCTCTTCCTGAGACTTCTCAAGGTCAGATGTAAGCCGTCTAACCAGGGCAGCTTGTTCGGCTACTTCCTCTTGAGGTAGCAGGGATGCATTTGGGTCTGGTGGGAGCTGGTCCTCGCAGCTTGGTGTGCCTGCTTCATCTCCAACTGCAGCTGCCACATTCACTGGACTGCTCAGTGGTGCAGTGGCGTTTCTGTGGAGTGTCCTTCTAGGCACTTTAGGGACCGAAAACCTAAATACGGATGGAACAACACCTTCCTTTAGAAACCTTCGGCCATTCACATAACCAGGCAGGTACTGTTCTTCCTTGAAGTGCTTTGAGCACACTTTAGTGGACTGGGTAACCTTGAAATGCTTCCCTTCGTCTCTTTTGATGGCAACAATCCACTTCTTGTGGAGGTCCTTGCTTCTTGGAAACCCAAAGTAGGAAACCTGGGAATAGAATTATTGCGGTTAGAAAAATGTGGTTGTATAACTTAAACCATGCAGACGGAGCTTTGCAATAAAATCTTGTTTCCGTCGGGCTGTTCTACTGGTTGTTTTTAAATAACCTTCTGTCAAGACTCGGGCGTGTCTCTTTGTCCCTCTTTGTTTTGTTACAAGCTCTTTAAGTGACCTAAATAAAGTCAACTCTCCTATGCATCCCATGCACACGCCTGTTTTACTCTCCAGTGTTATTCTCAACAACACGTCATTCATTCAATCATGTTGTGGCCTACAGGTATGCTGTGATGTATTCTATAGCATGCTGTGCCTTTTGCGGCTGTGATCGCGCGAGTTGTATGCTCACGGGCAACGTTACGAGATAATGGGGCCAAAGCACTTGAAGAGCAGCTCTAGCAGAACGTTGCGGGGACGAGCAAAGCAAATCGTCTCGGAGGCCCGATACCGCCCCGCGCGCGCTTGAAAACATGTTTAGAAGTTGCAGCACGAGCTCCCGATACAGGCACTAAAGAGACGAAGTACAGCTCTCCGTGCTAGTAAGCACTCGGGCAATGCCGATGTCGTGAACGTAAAACAATGTTCTATCGAATTCCATGTAATGTGACGTGGGAGCACTCCTTGCGCTCGTTCTTTTTTTTCTTTTTTTTTTTTGCGTGATTGTTTGTGCAGACGAGGTATTATCCGAAGCTACGTGCCCATACCTACTAGGAAACTTCACACAACATGTGAACGGACACCACAACGCAGCGTTGTCAGAAATAAACTCCGAATACTGGTCAGGAATCGCTCGCAGCTACGGGATTCATCGCATGATTACTCGACCAGTTCAAACGCATTTTGAAACGATGTCACGTGGACAAGGGTTATCCTCTAAAGATTATTTTTATTTGTGCAAACTTTATACTCTGAAGCGGTGAACACGCTCTCGAAGCTTCGAAAAGCGTTGAGGCAGCAGCAGACAGGCCTAATGTGATCGCCGCTCACTCCGCGCGGATCTGCATGACCCGATTTCTTCGAATACTGGTGTTTTTAACGTGAAAAAAAAAAAAAAAAAGACTCACCTTTTGTTGTTTTTTATCTTTTGGCCCTCTTTGGGTGCATTGAGGGATGCAGCAATGAGTTGGCATGTCAAACTGCCGAACACAGTGGTATGGTTCAACACCCTCGGTGCTTGACGACGACGCAGTATTGGCGAATTTTGTGAAGTTCGCGCAACCGTCCCTAGAGGCGCTGACTTTTGAAAAGGGTCTTGCCATCTCGCGTTTCGTGCTCTCGTCGTCTCATGGGTCTTGTCTCGCGTCTTTTCTAAAAATATTTTCAACGAAAGACGTGGGTGTGTGGGGACGCTCCGACGCTAGCGTGCCGGGTACCAGCCATGCCGTCATGCTGTGAAACGAAACCACATTTTTGCGCGGCGAGAGTTACTTTGTGAGCTGAAGCACTCGCTCCTCAAAGCAACGGCCGTGGGATTTGGCGCTACACGTTGCGCCATCTAGCGGCTGCAAAATAAAGAAACTGGGTAGGCCAGGCCTGCGCGGGTCGCGGGTGGGCGCATCCATAAACCACGTGTGAACGTTGCATTCCGAGTCGGCGTGAGCTTTTTTTGGAACCGTTTTTCGTAAAAGTAAGTCCCAACTTCAAGTCTCTACGACCTCACCGGGTTCCTGTAACATCTCGCCTACCTCTTAGAGTTCCCCCCAAAAAATAAGGCCGTGGCTACATCCACGCGCGGGGACGTAGCCATGTCGGGAGGAGATAAGGCTCCATCCACGCAAAAGGTCACGTGACTTATAAAATAAGGACATAATTTGTTTTTATTTACATATTATGCTTTCTTACAAGTAAATATAGGATCTAAAAATAAAGAGGTTACATTTTATTGTTGTTTTAAAGTTAATATATCACGTGACCTTACAAATTCTTAGACAATTTATCAATGTTTCACTGTTTTCTAACACTGATAGGAAATATCATGCGTCATAAAAATAGTATCCGTAGATGTCTTTATATTTATGTTGTCCAGGAGTCACACACACGTGTGGGCAGCGTGCGTGCCATCCGTGCGTGGGGGCGTGCAGCCTGCAGCCATGTGGTGTGGGATTGGTTGGCTTGGCGCGGCTGCGGCCTCTGGGGCCTTCGCCCATGTGCACATCGCTGCTGAGGCGAGGCGGCGAGGCTTCGCCGTGTATGTGATTGGCTTAATTCGTTTAAGGCATTGTAGTGTGAGCTTATGTGCATCGAAGGGGACAAGTGCGAGCACACGCTTCGTATGTTCTTGACTTGCGCGCACGCTCGCTATCTCACAAAGGTTGTGCGAGAAGGGAAAGCATGCATTAGACTCAGTAATAAGAAACCTATTGAGAGCATTCAATCGAGAAAACTGGGTAAAAGATTCCAGAAACAGTTTATTTCATGACAAATAAAACAGTAGCCGATCGATGCACAGATGCCACTCGTCCACGAGATCACCGATGAACACGAAGCCCTTCTTGCGGCAGAACTCCTGCAGGAGCCAGTTCACTTCTCTGTGCCGATCATTCTACACCTGGATCACTGCACTCTGCCTACGCTGACACTCCAACGAAAAGAACCTGTTCTCCCAACTCGGAAGAAAAAGCGATCTGCGTCGTCGGATTGCGTTCCAAGATCTGAGCGGCCAGCCGACGGTACTTGTCAACGTACGCGCAGGCACAAACGCTGGTGTTGTTTGTGCCAAAATCGAGCAGGGCGTCAGACACTTCGAGAAGCAAAGCCTTGATCCTAACGTTACTAAACACCCGCACTTCGACAGCCACCCGGTTATTAGATGTGAAATACTGGGACAAGTATTTCAAAATCGAATCCCCAGCAACCAAAACTGCAGGCATATCAGAAGTGCGACCGTGTGATTACACAAAGTTTTCTTGACCAAGAAAACAATAAAATAAAAATAAAAACAACACTTCAGAGAAACCCGCTTGGGGAAGACCAGGCAGGAACAGCAGTCCGCGCACGGCAGGAACGCAAGGAGCAATGGCCACCGAGCACAAGGCAAAACAATGGGAGACAAGAACGTAGGTTGGGTAGGTTGATTGCTGCGTGGACCACGACCAACTCTATAGTTGGTCGTGGCGTGGACGGAGACAAGACGGAAGGAGAACTGCTTCCGTCCACGCAAAAAAGTGACGTGGGCGCCGGAAGTGACGTAGTGCGTGGATGGAGCCTTATCTCCTCCCGACATGGCTACATCCCCGCGCGTGGATGTAGACACTCCCAAAAAATAAACGCTGCTACTGCTGCGTGAAACACGGCCACAGTCGCGAAGGTGACTCAAGCGTCAAACTTCATCGCTTCCCTTCGAGATCTTGGGAAGCGACACGGCGACAGAAGTGGATTACTGCAGTGCGACGCATCAAGTAAGTGAATTTTACAGAAACTCTTTGGGGGGAAGTGAACGAAAATATATGTGCAGGCTCGGAAAGTGGTCGGACGAACTCGTTTTGCAGACTACTCGGCAAAATAACATATTACAAGTTATATTAGAAGTCGCTTTGACAGCCACATAGGGAAATACGATAGGAACAATTGGGCCGATTGCTGCTTCGCTGTGACGTCGAGGATCGGGCGATCAGGTCTTCAAGCGAAAGGCCCGTCGGCCCGTTCCGGCACCGCTAATGCCGTTCGGCACGCGTGGTCGCAACCAAAACCTTCCAAACCTGCGAGTGGATTTTCGTAGCACAAAGTTTTGTTTGTTTCAGCAACTAAATTTAATGCTGAGTCTAGTAACAAATGTGACGGCGTGCAGAAACAGGCTGCTAATGTTTTTTGTTTGGAAAAATCTCGCGCGAAGCGTCCTGTCGCCTTTTTACACCAGGCTTTGCGATGTGCGTACGGTTATGTAGCATGCTGAGTTCCAAATTTTATTCTAGTGTGTGTGGCCGTCGGGAGGAGAGGACGGCCGAGCAAGGTGCGAGCGGGGCCAGCCGGCGAGGAAAGAGGAAGAGCGTGCTGCACGAGGCTGGGACCGGGCAGGAGCTATAGAGCTGTTCTGGCTGGTCTGGCCCATGGCGATTCCCGGGAGCATTCCACCAGCGAAGTTCGGGTCAGGACTGGCGGAAGCGGCGAGCCCTGGCCATACCGGCCTGGGCCATGACAATCCCGTAGTGGTTCCGCAGCGAAACTGACTGAGATAGCCCGGAACAGCTAGCCTACGCCGTACTGGCGTGGGAAGGACGATCCGCAGGCCTGGACACGGGCTCCGACTGTGAGTTCTGACCGACGGGCGACAACTAGGGTCGGCGGGTCCGGACTGCCGGCTCTCGAAGACGGGCAACCGGAATGTACAATAAACCTATTCGCTGCCTTCTCGTTTTATTGTGTCACTTCCTGGGAGACGAGCGAAGCACAGACCGATCGGGCGGCCACAAGTAGTGAAGACAACTCAAACTGGTGTCCAGATGACGACTCTAGAATATTCTCTAAACACTTGGACCTATCAGGGCTCCCGATGGTCTTAAAAAAACCGCACGAAAAAACCAGGGACGCACGCAGGTGCACACGGGGACTGCTGAAATTGGGGTCGCCGTCGCTCGCAACGGCCCGGCGGGCAGATAGGCCGCCCCAGTAACAGAGGCGCCGCCGCTTGTGGCGCTGAATGCAGTACTATCGTGGCGCCGCCTGGCCATTGCCGGCTGCCTATATTTGGTCTCTGCGTTCCAGTCACCATGGTCGTGTGACGTCGGGTGTTGCAGCCCCACGTCGCTGCACACATGGCGCTTTCTAAAATGAAACTAGGTACTGCCGCATGCTCATCAACATTCCTGTTCTGGTTTAAATCATACGTTACTACAAAAATCTCTCTTTGACTCAGAGACTGCTGTGTCGAAGTATTGATTACCTACGTTTCTCTCGGTGGGCTTTCGTTGGGGAGGGACCCCGGTACGTGAAAAATTATCCGCGAAAGAATGTTGGAGAAGGGAAGTGAGCTAAAGCAAAGGAGGCAATGTCTGCACGCTGAACCCGCACAGCGCGCATGTTTGTCTCGAGTTCAGTCGTTGCACAAAGCGGTCCAAAAACTTTTTGACCCTGGCTCGCGATGTCTTGCATCAATGCGCTCAGGTTCTTTTGTGTGTGTGTGTTTAACCTGTATTTTGTTTGCCGACATGGCAAGCACGCGGCGCTTGACGGTTTTTGGTCGTACGCTCGAAAGTTAAATTTTGCATACAGTTTCGGAAATCAGTTGACGACGGAGCGGAACAGCATGGTTTTCATTTTGATCGAACAGCCGTTGTCTCCGCTCGCGCGATGAAGCACGCGCAACTGCAAGCCTACAGAAGCTGCCCTCACGTGCATGCGAACATGATTGCACGGTAGACGCACCAGCCGGGACGCTTGCAGTCCATTATTTTACGTTTGCTTACTTTTGACGAATATCTGGCACGTCGGGAACCTGTAAAATGGTAACGAGTGTTTTTTTTTAATTGCTCGGCAACGGCTACAGGACTGTGTACACTTGTGGGATGTCCGAGCAGTAAAAGCGCAAGCAGTGAGTTCCGTCTCAACACGTCACATCAGAACACAACACAAATCCCTTCGCTTGTACAGCACTTCGAATATATATATATATATATATATTCTAAGGACATCTGCTCCAAAAGCTACTTTTGCTGCTCCAAAACACTGTTTTGGCTGCTCCAAAAGGTGCTCCAAAACGGCTTAGGCCAATCACATCACTGTTCAACGCACTCAGATATGAAAAAAGCTTCGGATATCTCCCTTGTCATTTTGTTTCGGTTTCGAGCCAAGATAATGGTGTTGTCAAACTTCGGGACACACCCACACCTGTCACAATGCACAGCCAGATTTCCCGAGGGTGACGATCGAACTGACAGTGCATGCTCCCTGAGCCTATCGTTTATACAACGTCCCGATTGGCCTATGTATACTTTGCCACATGATAAATGAATCTTGTACACCACGCCCTCGCTACACTCCACATACCTGTTCATATGCTTCTTTTGACAGACACTGATGCCTGTCTCCCCTCGTCCCACTTTTCCACACAATCTGCCCAGTTTTTGAGGAGCTGAGAGTAATACGGGAACCCCATGTTTTTGCCCCACTTTCTTTATACTGTGGCTCACCTTAT